TTTTTCTTCTGATTTGTGGGAGAAAAAATTCCCCAAACCCTTTCAGCTGATTTCCCCTCATATTTCATTAGCCAAATTGGGTCACATGCCCAGACCTAACCAGTCCCTGCCAGTAGGAATGGTACAGCCAAAGTTTGTTTTAAAAAGGTTCAGTAAACTATAGTCCAAAAGGCAGCCCATCTGTTTTTGTATGTCCTATGAGCTAAGAATGTTTTTGAGTGTTTAAATGGTTAAAAAAAGTAACAATACTTTGAGATGTTAAAATTGTGAAATTCAAATTTATATTTTAAATTTCAGTACCCATAGATAGTTGAATTAGAACACAGCCATGTCCATTCACTTACCTTTGCTTATATCTGCTTTCAAATTATAATGGCAGAGTTCAGTAGTTGCGACAAGAGACCATATGGCCTGCAAAGCCTGAAATAATTACGATCTGGAACTTTACAGGAAAAGTATGCCTATTCTTAGCTCAAACCAAATTCTATTCACCCATCACATGTTTAGGAGTGTCTGAGAGACAAGTAGTGAAGATCAGGCCAGAGTTTATTGAGAATGAGAAGTTTGATTTGAGGGCAGCTTTTCAATATGAGAACTTGATCAGGATTGCATAAGAGTTATGATACAGCAGTCCAAGATGAGTGAAAACAGCCAGGCGAGGTGACAGATTCAAAAAATCTTAGATCGCAGACCTCCATTGAGGCTTTCCATGAGAGAGGTGATGGATTGTTGAGTAAGTTCCCATAAGGACAATAAAACAAACCATTTCCTTGGGCAGGAGAGTTCCAGAAGGGGATAGACATGCTTATAGTGAATGTGGAAGAGCAAAGTCATGTGGCTCTGCGTGGTAAGGTATAATTGGGAGGTCTCAGTGTCTGGGCTGAGAGTGGTAAACGGTGTTGGTGCTCAGTGTCTAGGGAGGTTTGTTGCTGTTACATATGAGTGTGAGTGTGTGTGTCTTTTAGGGGGAGGACAATTGGGTGTTTGTGTTTAACTAAATTTAGCTTTCTCCCACCTCATTTTCAAACTAGTTCCGATGTCTAGACAGTTTATGCTGACTTAGCAATGATACTGTGCTAAATAAAGCATCCCCATTAACTACTCCCCCTTACTCAGTTTCGTCTGTATGCCTCAGTGCAGTGAAGCATGCATGGGTAGGGAAAGAAGTCAAGATATACTCTAGGATTAGGCTAAAAGTATTATAGTTTAATTCAAAACCTGTACAGATCTATTTGTAAATAAATGCTGTCAGATGAAATTGTAATGGAGAGTGCATACCTTTAAATTGATTTCCTTTTGATGTGATAAAAACATCTTCTGAAAGAAATGTTAAAATGTAGCTTTTGATATAAAGTAACATAATTTAGGTTTTAAAGTAGAAAACCTTTTGTTGATGGTAATTTCTTTGCTTCAGTGCACTTACAAAGAACTATTTGCTGTAGGTTATAAATCAGCCTCGAACCAGTTATAATTCGTAAATTGTTACTTATGACTGATTTATGGGAAATCCCATTAATTGCAATAGCAAAAAAGATTGTGAAGTAAGCAATAAGTAGCAAATAAAACAGCCTGGGATTTGAAAAGGACAGGTGTATATACTCCACAATTAATAGCAATGTATCATGTTTGCATTTGTTTTATTGATAGCATGTTCCTGATCATGCCCATTAATCCTACAACTTTGAACGATAGATAATAACTCCTGTCTAATACAAGAAAAAGAAATGGAGTGTCCCACCATTTTATTTTTCATATTCATTAAATATTTATTATATAGGGTCCAGCAGAAGTAAGGCTTGCTTGAGTGTAATTGGTAAGGTAATACTATGGGTGTAATAATTTATAGTTTTAATTTGAACATTTCACCTAAAATTGTATATGTTGTGCTTGAGTGTGATATTGTTCTGTTAAAGAATTGCATGCTTATAATTTTGTAATAAAATATTTTGTAACAGAAAAGGGGTGTTATTTGTCCTAAACCCTGAATATTGCTTATTACGAGCCAGTAACATTACATATATTATACGACAGTCCTAACGAGAGTCTCTTGAGTGGATAACACTGTAGTTTCCCTTTCCCAGATGGGGATAGTGAAGTATAGACAGGTGAATTTTTTTCAATTATAATGTCATTTCAAACAGGTGTATGAAATCACCAGACACTTCTCTCTTGGTCCCTGGACATAATTGTTTTTACAGTTTCATATTTTAAAGAGGAAAAAGGTAGCGAATGCCAGAGGAAGGACTTATCTTTTTCACTTCTATGCCGTTTCCCATCAATTAGTTATTCAATCTGTGTTGCCAGAGATCCTAGGATTCTGAGGAGAGTCATGGGGTAGGACGCAGGCACAGGGATGGACAAGAAGGGCCTCGGGACTCCACTTCCAAAAAGATCTGTCAGTTAATGTATGAGGGATTTTATGTGCTGTCGTTTTTGTTTCTGTTTTTAAATTCCCAATTACCTTAAGAAGTGTGTGTTGAGGGAAAAGGACACCAAGTCACCCAAATGAAAAAAATTTGATGGTCATGATTACTGGAAATTTAAATAACATTCTTCTTTTTAAAAAATGTAAACCTGAAAAAGGTTTTAAAGTCATTCATATTTAAATATACAGCGAAGGATCAAACTCAAGGAGTGAAACCTACCAATTACATTATTAAAAGGCCATCAAAGGATTAATATGAGTGGGTCCCTGATATTTAGTAATTAGTTGTTCCAAAATGTAGATTTTTATTATTATTCAAGTATGGTGAGACCCACAGAACAAGAGACAACTGCCATTATAGAGATGTTTTTGTTAGTGGTGCTGTTTGTTTGTTTTTTACTCACAGTGCCCAAGAGAAGAGGGTGTGTCTTGGCACACAGGGGCTTCATGGGAAAGTGCCAAGTTTGGTCAAGAGCAAGGGAAGGATGTGAGCAAGAGCCTTCATTGTGTGTTTTGAGGAAAGGCAAGGTAAACAGGCTTAGGATTGGCTAATATGAATAATTTCAGTAGGCACTGTCACTGATATTATTCAGTGGGGGTCATGGGAGCTATCTCTAGTTGCCTGGTATCTAGCCCTAGAATGATCAGAGCACAAGGATTTTGGCCTGAGTGTACGGGGCCTATGAGAACCCAGTAAAGAACATGGTTGAGGTACGGGATTCAGATTTGTTGGTTTGGGGACATGAATAATACACTGGTACATATCATTTACACATGTACAAAGAGTTGTCATTAAATATTAACTTTTGCACATTTTCAATAACCAGTTTATTGAGTGTCTATAGAAAGCCAAGTGCTCTGTTGGGAGCAGGCTAAGAAGACACCATCAGACATGGCCTACGCCCTCACAAAGCTCACAGGCAAGGGCAGGAAATAGATCCAGGAACAAGTGCTCATAGTACTGGATGGTGTGAAAAGTCAACCTAGAGCCACAATAGCCCCAAGCATAGAAGCAAGTCCATCTGCCTGGTGAGAAAAGAAATACTAACTCAGAACCTATCAGCCAACTTTCTTTGCTTCCATAGTGAAAGAGACATAAACAAACCTCTGAATCCAGAACATTCTAACTTTAAACTTCACTTTCTTGAGACTCTGGTCCCTTTCATTAGTTCTGTGAATGTGAATATATGTTTAATAATTGCTAATGATGGCTGCCTTTTATGAGTAAGGTGTCTTCTAGTTTGAAAAAAAGAAAGCCCCTTCTCCATTTGTGTACTCGCTGAAAATACAATTATTTAGAAATGCTAATTTAGAGAACAGGCTGACAAGGACCAGAGGGGAGAGGGGAGGGAATGTCAGGGGAAAAGGGGAAGGATTTATAGGAACAAGTATAAAGGACACATGGACAATAACTAAGGGGGGTAGAAATGGGAGGGAGGTGGGGAGCACTGGGGGGGGGGGGGCTGAGATGGGAGTAAAAGACAGAAAACTGTACCTGAACAATAGTTAAATTTTAAAAAATTTAAAAAAGAAATGCTAATTTACCTTCAGAACCTCACCACCAGCAGAAGTATATCCTAAAAAAGAGTCAGCCCTTTTCACCTCAAGGCCTCAGGTGGTAGGCAAGGAAGTGATGGCCAAGAAACCGGACCTATTTATGGCATTGACTTCTCTCTAAGGCTCACTTGGAACAACAGGAAGATCATTTTCATTGTTCTCCTTGTTACCAGTTTCTTCTGGAGCTTTTTTCTCTCTTGTATGAGTCCAACATCACCATTCTTAAAAACAAAGCTGATGATAGCATTCCATTCTGAAAGCAGAATGTGTCACCGGCAGGAAAAATCAGTGTTTCCTAAGTCTGACATAATAACTCCTGACAGTCTAGACCTGAAATCGCCCTAGCTCCCTTCCAGTCTCTTCCCCAGGCTTTTCTGCTCCACTGCCCCGGGGAACTTTCCACTGTTCCCTGGAGGTACTGTGTCCTTGTCTTGACTTAGGCTGGTCTCTCTGCCTGAAATGCCCTTCTCTTCTTTCTTGACCAGCTCCTTCCACAATACAGAAATCAGATAACCTTTCTCTTTGAAAATCCCTAATTCACCAGCATGGATGGAGTTGCTCTGACCTCAGTGCCCTTCTGTCAGAGTGGCCTGGTCTCAAAAACCTACGTCGTATGTTCAATATTGCACTTCATCTCCTTGCCTATATTTCATCTTTTGAATTACAGTTCTTTTGGGGGTAAGGTTTATGTTCTTTTATTTGGTGTTCCCAGTACTCAGTAAAATGTCTGGCCAAGGACAACAGCAAAAACAGAAATAATAATAATAATGTCTAACATTCATTGAGTTCTTACAATGTGGGAAACATTATTTGAAGCCCTTCATCTACATGAACTAATTTTGTTCTCACCACAACACTAAGGGGAATTTAATATTATCATTTCCATTTTGCAAGGGGGGAGATTGAACCACAGAGAAGATAAGTTAACTTCCCCAAGGCAATACATAGTCAGTACTTTTGAAGTGAAATGCGGTCAGCTCCTCCACCCCTTCTCCCCTTCTCTTTTTCTTTCCAAAAGATTCATAGAAGAGTCACTGTTTATTGAGATGAGAGATTTTGGAGAAGTCATTACACAGGAGCCCAGTCCATGGTAAGCCAGTAGAGGGGGGCACGTACTGGGCAACACAAGTTCCTTTGGAATGCCTCCTTGCACTGAAAGAGATGCAGAAAGTGAGTTATTATTTGTCTTAAAAATCTACTTAAAATCAGTAAGAGTAGGCACACAAGACAATTTATAGTCCTGTTATACTGAAATCATTTTTATAAAGTAATATCATGCTTTATGGCAAGTAATTTAATTTGTGGTATGTCTGCCTATACGTAGCAGCCTACTATATTATGAATTTTTGTATATAACAATCTGTAGAAGTTTATGTACATTTCATGTCATTATTTCAGTGTGTTTTCATAGTAGTATAAGTTAAGTTGCCAGTGTTTATAGCTGTCACCCCAAAGGAAAGGTATTTCTAAAAATGTAATTACAAAAGATATACATCATATATACAGGGTCCAGCAGAAGTAACACCTGCTTGAGTGTGGTTGGTAAGGTAATAATATGCGTATACTAATATATTGTATTAATTTGAACATTTAACTAAAATGTCATATGGTATGCTTGAGTATGATATTGTTATGTTATAGAATTATACACTTAAAATTGTGTAATAAAATATCTTGTAATAAAAAGGGGCATTATCTATGCTGGGCCCTGTATATGGCCTTCATTCTCATAGCAACCTTTTGGTGGAGTATTTGAGATCATATGCTCCTGGGCCAATCAGATGAACATCTGAGCCCAGGCTCTGTGGTTAGGAACCGTGTGAATTCATGCATAGTACTTCTATGATCAATATCTTCATCATGAGACTATTCCTGCATTCCTATGTCAGAGGAATGCAGAATTAGAAAGGATTGCAATTGCATAAGGCCCCAGTCTCAGAAGGGTTCACACTTGGCTTAAAGCTCTGTTGTTTCAGATTTGAAATTCTTAATAATTATTAACAAGGCATCTTACGTTATCATTTTGCACAGAGGCCCACAAATTATGTAGCCATTGCTGCATAGGATTGTTTGTGAAGTCAATAGCCCCTGGTGCCTGGCACATAGAGTAAGTCCAAATAAAACGTCAGCTATTACTAATTTTGCAAGGAGACTTTTTGTTTGTTGGGTAGAGCCCCCAAATTCTATGTTCTTAACTTTTCATATTGGGTCGGGACAATGAATCTCATGGTGAAGTCCATCTCATATGTCCTCATGTATTCAGGACACACTGGTTGGTTATCGCTCTGTTACGATCCTCCACCTCATTCTTCCATTTCTCTGTGATTGCACCTCTGATGGAATATGGCCTGTGGATGGCTGCTAATTTGAAGTGCAGAAACATTTTTCTCAAAATATGAAATTCATCACTCTATAAGGGACATTAGATTTGTTGTTTTCCTAGTCTGGGAAATGATGGCTTTAGCTGAGATGCACTGTGTCACTTACATTGTCCCAGAAGGACATTTTGGAAGGGACCTAATATGCTTTTTTGCTCTTATTGTATTGCAGACTATTTGAACTCCAGAAGGACCAACACCAGATAAATTATGAATGTTGAACAAGATGACCTTACATCCACAGCAGATAATGATAGGTCCTAGGTTTAACAGGGCCCTATTTGACCCCCTGCTTGTGGTGCTCCTGGCTCTTCAACTTCTTGTGGTGGCTGGTCTGGTGCGGGCTCAAACCTGCCCTTCCGTCTGCTCCTGCAGCAACCAGTTCAGCAAGGTGATTTGCGTTCGGAAAAACCTACGAGAAGTTCCTGATGGCATTTCCACCAACACTAGGCTGCTGAACCTCCACGAGAACCAAATCCAGATCATCAAAGTGAACAGCTTCAAACACTTGAGGCACCTGGAAATCCTCCAGTTGAGTAGGAATCATATTAGAACAATTGAAATTGGGGCCTTCAATGGTCTTGCGAACCTCAACACTCTGGAACTCTTTGACAATCGTCTTACTACCATCCCGAATGGAGCTTTTGTATATTTGTCTAAACTGAAGGAGCTCTGGTTGCGAAACAACCCCATTGAAAGCATCCCTTCTTATGCTTTTAACAGAATCCCTTCTTTGCGCCGGCTAGACTTAGGGGAACTGAAAAGGCTTTCATACATCTCAGAAGGTGCCTTTGAAGGTCTGTCCAACTTGAGGTATTTGAACCTTGCCATGTGCAACCTTCGGGAAATCCCTAACCTCACACCACTCATAAAACTAGATGAGCTGGATCTTTCTGGGAATCATTTGTCTGCCATCAGGCCTGGCTCTTTCCAGGGGTTGATGCACCTTCAAAAACTGTGGATGATACAATCCCAGATTCAAGTGATTGAAAGGAATGCCTTTGATAACCTTCAGTCACTAGTGGAGATCAACCTGGCACACAACAATCTCACATTACTGCCTCATGATCTCTTCACACCCTTGCATCATCTAGAGCGGATACACTTACATCACAACCCGTGGAACTGTAACTGTGACATACTCTGGCTCAGCTGGTGGATAAAAGACATGGCCCCCTCCAACACAGCTTGTTGTGCCCGATGTAACACTCCTCCCAACCTGAAAGGAAGGTACATTGGGGAGCTCGACCAGAATTATTTCACATGCTATGCTCCTGTGATTGTGGAGCCCCCAGCAGACCTCAATGTCACTGAGGGCATGGCCGCTGAGCTGAAATGTCGGGCCTCCACATCCCTGACCTCTGTATCTTGGATTACTCCCAATGGAACAGTCATGACACATGGGGCATACAAAGTGAGGATAGCTGTGCTCAGCGATGGCACATTAAATTTCACAAACGTGACCGTGCAAGATACAGGCATGTACACATGTATGGTGAGTAATTCTGTTGGAAACACCACCGCTTCAGCCACCCTGAATGTTACGGCAGCAACCACCACTCCTTTTACTTACTTTTCAACCGTCACAGTAGAGACTATGGAACCTTCTCAGGATGAGGCACGGACCACAGATAACAACGTAGGTCCCACTCCAGTGATTGACTGGGAAACCACCAATGTGACCACCTCTCTCACGCCACAGAGCACAAGGTCAACAGAAAAAACGTTCACCATCCCAGTGACTGATATGAACAGTGGGATCCCAGGAATTGATGAGGTCATGAAGACTACCAAAATCATCATTGGCTGTTTTGTGGCCATCACACTCATGGCTGCAGTGATGCTGGTCATTTTCTACAAGATGAGGAAGCAGCACCATAGACAAAACCATCACGCCCCAACCAGGACTGTTGAAATCATTAATGTGGATGATGAGATTACAGGAGACACACCCATGGAAAGCCACCTGCCCATGCCTGCTATTGAGCATGAGCACCTAAACCACTATAACTCTTACAAATCTCCCTTCAACCACACAACAACAGTTAACACGATAAATTCAATACACAGTTCAGTGCATGAACCGTTGTTGATCCGAATGAACTCTAAAGACAATGTACAAGAGACTCAAATCTAAAACATTTACAGAGTTACAGAAAACAATAAAAAAAGACAGTTTATTAAAAATGACACAAGTGACTGGGCTAAATCTACTGTTTCAAAAAAAGTGTCTTTACAAAAAAATCAAAAAAGAAAAGAAATTTATTTATTAAAAATTCTATTGTGATCTAAAGCAGACAAAATGATGTGTATTCCTCAGAACCTGTTTTTGCTGCACTTATTTACTATTTCCCCACATCTGGTCCCTGCCTTCCCCAATTGCCATATTTTTCAGAGGAGATCTCAATTCCCTAAGAAACTGGTCTAGGAAATTTTATAAGAATTCTGTTACACTTTGAGATTTTTATGGTGAATTCTAGTGGTGAGATCCAGTCTATTTTGTCTTTCTTTTTTTTCTCTTTTCTTTTATTTCCCCCCTCTTGCCCTTATAAACTAGTCCAATGGGGAATGCAATATTAGAAATAGATTTTTAAGAGAGAGCAAGGAAAATAATGCAAGATCTTATATTTTTCATGTAATAACCTGTTCTGTATTTATGATGAGGACCATTCAATGGAAAAAGGAAAAAAAGTAAGCAAACAACAGATTAATTTACATACATCTATAAAACCCATGATCTTTTAAACAACTCTAGAACCTGAATTTGTAGTTCAAAAGCTAAAAAATAAGATTATAAATAAAATATTGTTGGTTTTTCTGTACCTGGACACAATTTATTTGTAGTGTGGCTCAAATGTGAGAAACTTGAAGGTAATTTGATTTTCTACTTTCTGAGACAGAAAATATTACAGTATTTTTCAATCACAGCATCAGTCTCTATGGGGTCTTGTTTTGTTAGTTGACTTGAGGTTTGGATCTATATATTCAAAGGTGCTGTGATGTATTTTCCCCTCTCATTAGGGTCACCCTTTGTAGAATGGTCCGATTAAAAACAGTGATTTTGTGAAGTAAATTTAATTCTACTTGAAAGAAACTCTCAGTATAATGTATTCACTGTCTCATATAATTCTCTTGGCTAGACAAAGTATGACCCTTGAATGCAAAGATATTCTAAACTACCCAAGTCGAAAAATCATTTTTGGTGCTGAGTCTCAGCAAATTCAATCCTATTCAACAATAACTATTAAAAACCTACTATGTGTTAAACTATGATTTTAGTGTACGTACACAGTTGACAAGACTTGGTTCCTACCCTTGATCACTCATGATTTGTATAACATATGATTAAAAATACCAGTTCATTATTGGGGGAAGGCTCTAATTTTACTGTTATGTGAGACTGGAGTGACCATGGAGTTTCAAAATATCAGGTTACTGCTAATTACAGAAACCCTCTAAATCCATGTTTTCTTTCCTCCTTTTTGAAAAGCTGGCTCTCTTTTTCCAAATGCAGTTGTCAGAGTTTAAAGAAGTATAAGTAAATAATTTTTATGAACAGATGGATGCATACCAAGAGTTAGCAATGCTACTATAGTGGTGATGCACTGAAGGTTCTTGAAAACATACATCACATTCCAAGTAAAACAAATGACTTGTGGGTTATTGGCACCATGGCGTTCTCCTAATATTTTAATACACTATGTGTATGATGACTTCTGTCTTTTTGTAAATCAGAGTGAAATTGTACACCTCATAGTGACCCTCAAAACTTGCCACCATTGGGGAAAAAAGGGTTGGAGGAGGCAGAGCAAACTTCAGCTCCTAATGGATGAGTTGTTTGGTGAGCTGTTTGATACTCACACTTAACTCAGCAGGATGGACCTCACACCAGGGTTGTGTAATCTCCAACTGAAAAACCAATCATTACTAGCACAGTAGGTCAGAGAACTAGAAGGATTGGATAGCAAATGAATGAGATCCATCACACAACGGTCTTGCCTCTATTTTTTGATCACTGATTCTCTAGCGGCTTTTCCTTCCCTTCCTTTCTACATTCCCTACTTTTCTTGGTAGGAAAATGATTCATATTTGTTTTTACTGTGTGTGGAGAAGATCAGAAAAAATGGAAAACACATATTGGCTGTAATTTGTCAAGCTTTTCAGTATCAGATGTCTTCGTATATTCCCAAGCTGTACATGAGAAAGCAAACAGCAAGCAAACAAACAAACAACCCACTGAGGAATAGCAAGCACATGCTAGTACAAAAAGAGTTGGATAAACCAAGAGGGAGAAAACTCCTTCCTTCTCTACTTGGTTTGTGCTTAACAGATCTCTGTCTCTGCTGACTCTAAACTTTCTTTCATCCCGAGTTAGAGCCAGCATACAATTCCCCTTGACTGTGAGGGGTGGCTGAACAGTTAGAGAAATTCTACTGAACAGAAGGAAAGGTGAACCTGAACTAAAAGTTTAAGTAAGAAAATAAAATATACAATTCAATTTCATAGGAGATTATAGTTGCCCTAATGAATACATTTTGTATGCATGTACCAAATGTATGTACATACATATGTGTATGTGCACACACACATATAGATAAAAGACTGGTTAAGCCAAATGACTTTCACAGTAAGTTTAGAAATGCAATGGACAAAAGGTCATATCGGATTTTGGGGTTGAAGGGTGGGGTGCTATGAAGGCATGATTTAAAGGACACTAAAATGCTAGATGTTTATGATTTGCAGTGTCTGTATTTGCCCTGCATTATGTACTTGGCTTTTGGCCCCTCAGTACAGTATCTGTACTGAAGTATAGAGACAATCACACGCTGTGTTTTGACTGCTATACATCTGGTACATCCTTATAGTAAAACATAATTCTATGTCAACTGCTCTTTTTATTCTATCCAAAAGCAACCCAGTGACAATATCCTTTAATATTTCTGCACCAGAAATGTGCTATTTATAAGTAACCAAATTAAGGTAACCTAATGATAATTTAATTGTATATATATGCATACATACACATACATAAATATTATATATATATATATTTCCTACTAATGGTAGGAAATATATGGTTTGTTTTGGGGATACATCAACAGTTATTTAGAAATAAAATTTGCCAATTTTTTCCTATCCTTTTATACCTGGCCATGACCTCAATCTTCTAAATTATTTTGAACATGTCCATTTATGTACATTGTTAACATATGAGCAGGAATTGGCATAGCTCACATATATACACCCTAATATAGCTTAGTCATTTCTACTCATATTCTGAATCTCGTGGAATCAAATATCATCTTTTCCTCAAGTTGAAGTAGGTCATTTGACCTTGGAATATTAATCAATGTTTTTTGGAGAAAGAAAATTTTGCTAGTTCATAACTGCTGTTAGGCCTTATAATCAGAGTTAAAAATCAGGATGTTCTTTGAGACCTGCATTCCACAAAATCCTGAATATGGTCTGCTGGAGAACACCTTGGCAATGGAATGCTTATTTACATGGGAGAAAGAAAAGGGAGAAGAAATTTTTGGAACAGGAATTACTAGAATGTGAATAAATATTAATTGAAATATCCCAGGTATACAAGATTTCCAAGGTGGAAAGAAATCTGAATCTTGTATTGTTTTGGAATAATATTCAAGATAATTAGGTAAGTGGAGGAGTCCAATGAGTGCTTATGAATACAGGGCAGTGCTCTAAAGTAATGAGGTTTTTAAATATGTTCAATTGTTTAGTTGGTGCTTCAGGTTACTTGTTTTTATAAGGGCATAAAAATAATTAAATATCATTAAAATATCATTAAACATCACAGACCTAACCTGTGAATGCCTCAGTGGAGTCATACCCTTCTAGAAAGCTGTTTGTTTCTCATAAAATATAGTAGCACAGAGTTGAATATCTTATAAAAAGCATCTCCCCCTGACTATGTACACATCAGTATATTTTATTAGAATGTATTTTGTACAAAAAATGCTTCACATAAAAATAAGTCTAAAAAATTGCCTTAAAAAGCAAGGTACCATTTACTCTTTCTCCATAAGACAAAAATATGAATTTCTAGAACTTCTCTATCAGATAGAAACCAGCTGTGACATTGTCATCTGCTTATGCTATATCAGGATACAAAATAAGGTAACAGCTGGCTCTGTGAGGGAAAAAATAAAGAAATCTCCTAGAATTACTGAATGCACTCTGTCAATTAAACCTAAATTTGGATAATGAATGGACCATTTTACTACACCTACCAGTTCATGTCATTTTTTTTCTTCAAGTGCTACCAACACAACATTTCTGAGATTTCAATCTTTCCTAATATTATTTGAGAAATATATCCACATTATATAAAAATTTATAGCATTGCATTGTATAACAGTGGTAAGAAAAACTGGTGTTTATTTTGCTTCTGCCCAGATAAAAAGAAAAAGAAAAACAAGAGGGAGTGCAATTGCTGTAAGACAGACAATAAATGAAGCAAATATTTTAATAACAGCGCATGACTGAAAGATCTTTTGTTCTGTAATTTTGTCATGCGCAGTAAGCAAGAATGCCCATATATATCCTTTGAGTGATATAGAAAGCAAAGACCTATAAAATTCCAGACCATGAAGGCTTATCTTCTAATGGTTGGTCCAATAATTTAACTTCATTTTCCAGGTTATCAATGCCATACTTTATTATAGATTTGATGCTGAACTGCTGGATTTGAACTTGTCCAAGTGGCATTAGTCCTGTCTTTATTTGGTTGGCAGAAGTACTGAGTATAGGGCTTATTACCCAGATGAAGGGGAAGATGTAATGATTTTTGAAGTTAGAGGGGCTGTCTTCATGGGGACAGTAGAGTTCATTCTGATCTGTGGCAAAATGACAATTTGGAAAAATATCCACCTGTGTGGGCCCCAAGATACCATGGTGGAAACCCATGAGGGGAATCCCTAGCCTTTATTGTTTGTACATCAGTAAGTCTTCCGAATGACAATTGATACATCTCCTTACTTCCCAGCCCTTAATTCCACATTAAGAGTTAAAAATAAAGCAGAGCTCAATAATTGCTCTCTAAGCTCCCTTGATAGTTTTGTAAAGTGACTTGTTCTCGTAGAGAAATAAATTCAGCTTAAAACACATAAAAAGTGTTATATTTTATGATACATATTTTTATGGGAGCTACTATAAATTTTAAATCAAATAATTTGTAATACTAGGGAAACCATTTTTTTTTACTAATAGAATCACTGGAAATAAATTTAACCTTAACAAAAATTGTAAAATGCCTCAAACACTGAAGTTGATTTCCAGGTCCTCTGGAAAACAATTTTTAAAAAAAGTTTTATTTAAAAAAATTAAGTTTACAAATGAAAGAGAAATGTAATAAAGTTTCTCTTTCCAGCAGCCCCCAAGCAGACTAACTTGTGCTTATAAAGATATTTCTCAACATGAATGGACCGTTAAAGAATAAACTTCAGTTCATTTTGACTGCAAAAATATCTTGTACCTCTGTATTTTCATCTGAAGTTTTTTCAAGGATCTTTCAAACAAGTGACTCTTAGGAAAACAATAATGCCAGCTTTTACATACTCAGTTACATCTGGTTTTTCAATCCACATCCAGCTACATGCATTTTATTCTTGGCTTTCATTTCTCAGCCTGTTTTCAGATTTTGCAGAAGGAATTTAAAATCAGAATCTGTCACTGCTATACAAAATTTAGTTATGCAATCTGGAGTT